AAAAAAAAAAAAAAAAAAAATTAAAAATTAGCCAGGCATGGTGGTAAGTGCCCGTAGTCCCAGCTACCCCAGGAAGTTGAGGTGGGAGGATTGCCTGAGCCTAGGAGGTGGAGGCTGCACTGAGCTGTGAGGCTCCAGCCTCGGTGTGACAGAGCGTGACCCTGTCTCTAAAATAATAATAAACATTCCATAAAAATGCTTGAATGGAGAAATCATGAGTGGGGTCTCGGAGGGGACCAGGGCTGCAGTGACAGGCAACCTGGGGCTCTGACCCACGATCACTGCTGTTGCAGGAAGATGAATGCCTCCAGATGCGTGCCTGAGGAGGTGGGGTTCCTCCGCCCACTGACCATGGCTGTCCTGTCTGTGTCCTTTGTCGTCGGAGTGGTGGGCAATGGGCTGGTGCTATGGATGACTGTCTTCCGCATGGCCCACACGGTGTCCACCGTCTGGTTCTTCCACCTGGCCCTTGCCGATTTCATGCTGTCACTGTCTCTGCCCGTCGCCACGTATTACGTGGCCTCCAGGCAGTGGCTCCTTGGAGAGTGGGCCTGCAAACTCTACATCACCTTTGTCTTCCTCGCCTTCTTTGCCAGTAACTGCCTCCTCGTCCTCATCTCTGTGGACCGTTGCATCTCCGTCCTCTACCCCGTCTGGGCCTTGAACCGCCGCACCGCGCAGCGGGCGAGCTCGCTGGCCATCGCGGTGTGGCTCCTGGCCGTTGCCTTGTGCTCTTCACACCTGAAATTCCGGAAGACCAGAAAATGGAATGGCTGTGCGCAGTGCTACTTGGAGTTCAGCTCTAAGAATGAGACTGCCCAGACTTGGATTCAGGGGGTCTTCGAGATAAAAAATGTGGTGACCATAGGCCACTTCCTGCTGGGCTTCCTGGGGCCCTTGGCAGTCATAGGTATCTGCGCCCACCTCATCCGGGCCAAGCTCTTGAGGGAGGGCTGGGTCCATGCCCACCGGCCCAAGAGGCTGCTGCTAGTGCTGGTGAGCGCTTTCTTCATCTGCTGGTCCCCGTTTAACATGGTCCTGTTGGTCCATCTGTGGCGACGGGTGATCCTCAAGGAACTCTACCACCCCCGGATGTTCATCATCCTCCAGACTAGCTTCGCCTTGGGCTGTATCAACAGCTGCCTCAACCCCTTCCTCTACGTCTTCGTTGGCAGAGATTTCAAAGAAAAATTTTTCCAGTCTTTGCCTTCTGCCCTAGCCAGGGCGTTTGGAGAGGAGGAACTTCTCCGTGGTCCTGTCCCCGTGGCAATGGCCCCAGGAAACCGTGAAAGCATTGAGCTGGAAGCTGGAAGCTGTCTTTCCTAGTTCGCTTGTGGCCTCTCATCTTGCCAAATTCTGCCTCTTCTTTCAGGAAGTCTTCCAGCAACCCCTAATTTAAAGCTCTGTGGTAGGGACAGCTGCTTATTCCCAATGTCTTTTCTTTTTTCTTTTTTTTTTTTTTTTTTTAAGACCGACTCTTGCTCTGTCGCCAGGCTGGAGTGCAGGGGTGCCCTTTCGGCTTGTGGCAACCTCCAATTCTTTGGTTCAAGTGATTCTCCTGCCTCAGCCTCTCAAGTAGCTGGGATTACAGGTATGCACCACCACACCCAGCTAATTTTTGTCTATTTTTTTTTAGTAGAGACAGGGTTTCACCATGTTCTCCAGGATGGTCTCTATCTCCTGACCTCGTGATCCGCCCGCCACAACCTCCCAGAGTGCTGAGATTACAGGCAGGAGCCATGACACCCAGATGAGCCACAACACCCAGCCCATCCTTCCCTTTCTTTTTTTCTTTTTTTCTTTTTCTATTTTTCTTTTTTTGGAGACAAGGTCTCATTTTGTCACCCAGGCTGGAGTGCACTGGTGCAATCTCGGCTCACTGCAGCCTTGCTCTCCAGGGCTCAAGCCATCCTCCTGCCTCAGCACCCCTGACCTCTGCCAAGTAGCTGGGACTATAGGCATGTGCCACCATGCCTGGGTAGTTTGTAGAGACAGAGTTTCATCATGTTGCCCAGGCTGGTCTCAAATTCCTGAGTTCAAGTGATCCTCCAGCCTCGGCCCCCCAAAGTGCTGGGATGACAGGTGTGAGCCACAGCACCTAGTCTCCCCTTTGTTTGTAGTAAGACTCCTTTGCATGTAGGTACAACAATGTGACTGCTTTCTGGCCAGGAGGATGTTGATAGCAATCAATGTAACTTCCCTGAAGTGCCCTTAAATGGAAGGGCCCTGCCCTCCATTTCCCTATTTCCCCCTTTCTGTTGTCCAGAATGCAGATGTACCAGTTAGCTCTTGCTGTGTAACAAACACCCTCAAAGTTTAGAGGCTTAAAAACATGACTTTTTTTTTTTTTTTTGATAGGGTCTTGCTCTGTTGCCCAGGCTGGAGTGCAGTGGTGTGATCACTGCCACCTCAATCTTCCAGGCTCAAGTGGTCCTCTCACCTCAGCCTCCTGAGTAGCTGGGATTACAGGCATACCCCACTGTGCCTAGTTAATTAAAAAAATTTTTTGTTGTTGACATGGGATCTCACTATGTTGCCCAGGCTGGTCTCAAAGTCCTGGCTTCAAGTAGTCCTCCTGTCTCAGCCTCCCAAAGTTTTGGGATTATAGACGTGAGCCACCACACCAGGCTCCTTTTAAGATTTCTGCGGGTCAGCAATTCGGGCTGGGCTCGGCTGAGCAGTTTTCTCATCTTGCAGCTGAGCTCCTTTATGCATCTGTGGGTCAGCTAAGTGATTCTGCTTCTGGAAGGGTGCTGGCTCGGGGTGGCGGCACTGGCTAATCCACGTAGCTCTTATCATCCTGCAGCCTGGCTTTTTCATGTGATGGTTGAGGAGGGTTCCCAGAGAGAGAAGTATGAAGCAGAGGCTCAGAACTTTGCACAAGATGGCTACCACTCAAGCTACTGGCCAAAAAGCCAGTGACAAGCCTGGACTAGATTCAAGGTGTGAGGAAAAAGACTCCACCCCTTGATGGGAAAATCTGAAAAGCGACATTGCCAAGGAGCACGCACGCAGGAAGGCATGTAGAACTGGGGCCATTTGTGTCATCTGCCACAGCAGCCGTGATGGAAAGCCACCGTGTCCCCAGGGAGTCCCTAGTCCAACCGGGAGATGCTTACACCCAGGTTGTGAAAAGGAAGATTTCAAATCCTAGCTCATTGAAGCCACGGTTATTTTGTGTCTTTGCTGCAACAGCTGAATCTACCCCCTAATTTGTTTTTGTTATTGTTGTTTGTTTTTGTTTTTAATCGAAGTTTCGCTCTTGTTGGCCAGGTTGCAGTGCAGTGGCGCAAACTCAGCTCACTGCAACCTCTCCCTCCCGGGATCAAGTGATTCTCCTGTCTCAGCCTCCTGAGTACCTGGGATTACAGGTGCCCACCACTACAGCCGGCTAATTTGGTAGTTTTAGCTGAGATGATGTTTCACCATGTTGGCCAGGCTGATCTCGAACTCCTGACCTCAGGTGATCTGCCCGCCTCAGCCTCCCAAAGTGCTGGGATTACAGGTGTGAGCCACCTCGCCCAGCCCTACCCCTTAACTTTTTTTTAATTTGTAGATTTTATTTTATTGTTATTTTATTTTATTTTTTTGGGACGGAGTTTTGCTCTTGTTACCCAGGCTGGAGTGCAATGGCGCGATCTCGGCTCACTGCAACCTCCGCCTCCTGGGTTCAGGCAATTCTCCTGCCTCAGCCTCCTGAGTAGCTGGGATTACAG